GGGTGCTCCGATTGTGCAAGGCGCTCTACGAGCTACGGCAGGCCCCGCGAGCATGGAACGCCAAGCTTGACTCCATGCTGGGTGAGCTTGGGTTCGCACGGTGGGCAACCGAGCATGCGCTCAACACGCGGTGATGGGGGAAGGAGGAGCTCATCATCGGCGTGTATGTGGATGACTTGATCATCACTGGCGCACGTGCGGAGGACACCGGCAACTTTAAGCATGAGATGGCGGCTCATTTTCCAATGAACGATCTCGGCGCGCTCTCCTACTGCCTCGGCATCGAGGTGAGATAGGGGAAGGAGGCGCTCACGCTCGGTCAGAGCACGTCTGCCTCGAAGCTGTTGGAGTGGAGCAGCATGGCTGAGTTCAAGCCGTGTGTGACTTCAATGGAGGAGCGATTGAAGCTGACGAAGGCCAGTACCGCGGCGAAGGTAGATGCAACACTCTACCGGAGCATCGTCGGCGGTCTACACTACCTAGTCCACACGAGGCCGGACATTGCGTTCACCGTGGGCTACGTCAGTCACTTCATGGAGGATCCCAGAGAGGATCACTGGGCTGTGGTGAAGCGGCTACTGCGCTACGTCAAGGGGACGGTGGATCAGGGGATCGTCTTCCCCAAGACCGGTGGAAGTAGGCTATAGCTCACTGTGTTCAGCGATGCAGACATGGCGGGGGACATCGACAGACGGCGGAGCACCTCTGGCGTGCTCGTCTTCCTCGGGTCGGCTCCAATCTCATGGCCGTCGCTGAAATAGAAGGTGGTGGCACTGTCCACATGCGAGGCAGAGTACGTGGCAGCGGCCAAGTGGCGTGCCAAGCTGTGTGGCTGGGTCGGCTGCTAGGCGAGCTGACCGGTGTGGAAGCTCACCCACCAGCACTGATGGTGGACAACCAGCCCGCCATCGCCCTCGTGAAGAATCCGGTTCTCCGCAACCGGATCCAGCACATCGACGTCAAGTTCTACTTCCTCAGGGACTTTATCGATGGAGGGCAGATCGTCATCGAGTTCGTCGAAACTGGTCGGCAACTCGCGGACGTCCTCACCAAGCCGCTCGGCCGTCTTCGACTCATGGAGTTGAAGAAGATGATCGGCACGGAGGGGGTTCTAGGGTTAGCAGCAGGATTAGGGGTAGAATTGTTAAGTAATCTGCTGCTCCCTTGTGCGAACGCACAGCAGGGGCAGACGGCGCCGAAAAGGCTCCCTACTATGACACTGTAGCCGCTGCAGGGGCAGGCGCCGAACGGCTCTCCTGCTGCACTGTAGCCACGCAGGGGCAGGCGCCAAAGTCAGCCCTGCTGTCACATCTAGTCACTGTAGCAGCATTGTAGCCTGACATGTCTGTGTACTAGGATTAGATGGATAGAGGTGTATATATAGTTTGCCACCGCAACTCAGTAAAGAGAGCGAGTTTAGTTTTGCCATCTCCTCTGCAGAGCTCCGGCCAACGCTGGTGCTTATGCTGTGTGTGTGCTCTGTTCTCCCTCCCTTCTTCTACCTCTTGCCATAGTGTGTGGTCGGCATCGCTAGTGTGTGCTCGGCAACACTAGTGAGTGGTCGGCTAACTCCGTATTGGAGATCCAGGGCTAACAGAAAATTATAGAAACATTTAAGTGGAAAGACAGTTCTATGTGTTCTTCTCTCTTTTTTTCCTTTTATCATCTTTTGTTGAATTTTGTTCTCACTTCTCACCACATTTCCTTCGTATATATGCCTCATGATTTTGTACATTTGATATATGATGTCAACTGTTCTTGTTCAAAGCAGTTAGGATAACATGTCACATATTTTGCCCTTTTATTATTTTCTACTGTTCACAGGAACATGTTTCTACAATGGCCCCTTCTCATCCTGTGTGGTGTATGCCCACATATATGTGTCAGTTCTACAAATGAGTGTTTAAATTAACTTGGAGAAAGCAGACAATGATGGGAGGTTTTGTGAGTCTTCAAAAATGTTTGCTAAGCATTTTCGGCAGGTTCCTTAATTCTTCTTTATGTTTGTATGTATGGGTAATCTACATGGTTTGAGATCATTTCAGTCAGATTACATACATCATAGCTTTCATGAAAGCACTTTTGGTGCATGGTGCAGGTGACAAGATTAACTGAGAAGCTCAACTGAACCCCCCAAAGCTCTAATAAGTCAGGTACCATTGTGCACTGAATTGTAAGTAGTAATTTCCAAGAAGTTTCACTTTAGTCATTTGCTGCAGGTCTTAGTAGTCCTTGCATCTCAGGTTGCAAATATAGATACTATAGTGCCACTTTAAAGTAACAGCAACTGCTAGCTCATACACCGTACAACAGTAATGGTATTTTGGCCTTCCAGGAATAGGTACATGAGTAGGTTTTAAATAGTACCATGGAATGTTCAACACTAAGCTGCTGAAATATTTTCAGTCCTAGCACATATTTCCTTTTTTGTGTCTCCACAGAGTGAACTAATTTAAGTAAACCCTGCGTTAAGTTCTCATCAACTGACTTTTTCTTCGGTGCTCCATGTGTGTACTGCATAGTGTTTGTTTGATGTTGAAAAATGGAGTGTGAACAGTGACTACACCATCATATCTCAAAAATACACCTATATCAAAAAAGGCAGTTTTAAATCTGTTCTGAACAAAATTGTGTGTTGCTGTGTCAATGAGCTCGCCTACTGATGTGCCAATATCAGTTGTCATGGCTACGGCCCATAAAGTATCATTTACATAATCAAAGCTGTCGATTAATCAGTTAGCTATTTCATTTGCCTCACAGAGTCCTAAACAAAATTGATTCCTTTTCGTATAACACTTCCATATATAATTTGCAGATGAAGAAGCAAAGAGCTTACGCAGCAGGGAAAGGGCAACAACCACAGGACTTCATCACAGCAACAGCATAAGTAACCAAGGTACACACATACTACCTATTTATTCCCCAAATGTTGTAGCCAACTGATAGGTCATATCTGCCAAAAGCCCTTACAGTAAAGTATACACCGCCTCTAGGGGAAAACAATTATACCATCTAAGTTAGAGTTACATCCATCAGTCAAAACTACTATTACACAAACCTTGGTTACACACCCTCCTAATTCCTATATATTGCTTTTTTTGGGTGCGTCACCTGCAACACTGTTCTTTTCCAACGAAAAAAAAGGAACTATAGTTCATCTATTTCAGCTCCACCATTTATTGATTCACTATGTTGTTTCTTACACCAGGTAACGCCACCCAACAAGATGTCGACTTCCATTTTGTGGCATGCACAGGACTGAATTTCACACATGCAAGACATCCAGCGTTTCCTTATAGCATGCCAGTCCTATAAAGCTATGAAGGGTTCCAAGCCACCCCAACAATAGGTCGTCCTGTGAAAAAAAAGAACACATGCTCCTCAGCCTGTGGTCTACATATTAGCCACGCTATTGTAACCTCAATTACAATTAGTTAACTATAGGTGTATAATCCACCCAAAAACTCGCCTGTCTTTGTTCGACGTCGGAAAACTGCAGACGTATTCCCTAGACTGATACTATGTAGGAAACTGAATGTGCTCTGATTGCCTTAATTTTGTACCTTATTAGTCACAGCACTTAAAAATTTGTATCCTACTAGTGGTAATTAAGGACCGTACCGGACGGGACCGATCGACGAAGCGGTCAGCGGGAGGGCCGGGGGGGCGCCGGTCTTGCAGAGAGCAGTGCAGTAGGTAGGGTTCGTGGATATGGGCAGGCATATGGCGCTGCTGCCTGCCTTGCATTGCATTGTGCCCAGTGTAGTTGTTGTGTCTCCATCTATCTATAACTACGACGACGACGAGGAGGAGAACGTTGTCGTGTGGATCGCGCGTAACTACCCAGATGCGCATGAGCCACATGAGATACCTAACTCCCATCTCATCCATTCATCAGATCCTCTTCATCCTAGTTATATACCTCCATCCCATCCATTCATCTCGCTCCTCTCAGATCCTCTCATCAGCTCATCGATATAAGAACAAGGTACGGTGCAATCGACTTCCTCCGATCCTCTTCATCCTAGTTATATATACCTCGATCGTTTAATTTTTATACGTACACTTAAAACATGCATGCATGCATGCACGTCAAATTATTGTTCTCATTATCCTAATTAACTAATGGGAAGAAGGAAATTAAGGAAGCTTAGAGCGTCTCCAAGAGAATCTCCATATCATTTCTAAATGCTAGGGACAGAGATTTCTGTGAAAAACTACCCTCCAACAGCTTCTCTAGATGGTCATCCAAATATAGCCATCTTTTTTTTCTAGATTTTTCGTTAGCCAAAAATAGAAGACGAGAATGGCTCTCTAGAGTGCGCATGAGATAAAGAAGAATTGTTGAAGAGTGAAAAAAATATAGAAAGCGATTTTTATGCAAATGGCTCTTCAAATGATGATTTAGAGAGTGAGATTTAGAAAGGTTCTTGGAGATGCTCTTACATAGTACCTTTTAGTGCTGTAGCATATGTGTATATTTCTCGAGTTTTTGTATACTTTTATATACCCCCTCCGTCCACAAAATAATGTAAATATCGTATTTCAAGAAACCAAATACTTTCAAGTTTGACCAAATTTATGGAGAAAATTAGTAACACTTATGTTATAAAATAAATATCATTAGATTAATCATGAAATGTACACTTTCGTAATAAACCGATTTAGAGATGTAAATGTGAATAAAACTTGGTCAAACTTGAATTCTTTTAACAGGCACGGATACCATAATTGCATTCTTTCGTAGACGGAGGAAGTATGTGATATATATATGTTTAATTTTATTGCAGCTAGCCAGCTTCTCATATTATATAGAAACACATTTTCATTTTATTTTATTTTATTCTTTTTGGAAATTAATCAACCATGTCATTAGAATGAAGATGTACTAGCTAATTAATACAATTCCGTTGACACCCATCGTCATTTGCATATATCATCGTTTCGTTGGTTGCAGCAGCAGCATTTGAAGCGGATACATACATAAAAAAAAAGGAAAAATGGCGGCGCTGACATCACCGTACAAGCCGAAGAGGATCCTAATCACGGGCGCGGCGGGGTTCATCGCGTCCCACGTGGCGATCCGCATCGTGCAGAAGTACCCGGAGTACAAGGTGGTGGTGCTGGACAAGCTGGACTACTGCTCCAACCTCAAGAACCTGCTCCCCGTGAGCAGCTACCCCAACTTCAAGTTCGTCAAGGGCGACATCGCCAGCGCCGACCTCGTGAGCTTCATCCTGGCCACCGAGGGCATCGACACCGTGATGCATTTCGCCGCCCAGACCCACGTGGACAACTCCTTCGGCAACTCCTTCGAGTTCACCAAGAACAACATCTACGGCACCCACGTCCTGCTCGAGTCCTGCCGGATGGCCGACGCGGGGCAGATCCGGCGCTTCATCCACGTCAGCACCGACGAGGTGTACGGCGAGACGGACGGCGACGCGGTGGTGGGCAACCACGAGGCGTCGCAGCTGCTGCCGACGAACCCGTACGCGGCCACCAAGGCAGGGGCGGAGATGCTGGTGATGGCGTACGGGCGGAGCTATGGCCTCCCCGTGATCACCACGCGCGGGAACAACGTGTACGGTCCGCACCAGTTCCCGGAGAAGCTGATCCCCAAGTTCTTGCTGCTGGCCATGAGGGGACAGCGCCTGCCCATCCACGGCGACGGCACCAACGTCCGCAGCTACCTCTACTGCGAGGACGTGGCCGAGGCGTTCGAGGTGGTGCTCCACCGCGGCGAGGTCGGCCACGTCTACAACATCGGCACAAAGAAGGAGCGCACGGTGATGGACGTGGCCAGGGACATCTGCGGCCTCTTCGGCCTCAACGCCGACGAGGCCATCGAGTTCGTCGACAACCGGCCGTTCAACGACCAGAGGTATTTTCTGGACGACGAGAAGCTCAAGAGCTTGGGGTGGCGCGAGCGCACGCACTGGGAGGAGGGCTCCGGAAGACCATGGAGTGGTACGTGGCCAACCCTGACTACTGGGGGGACGTGTCCGGGGCGCTGCTGCCGCATCCCAAGGCGGGAGGCGTCATGCCGGATCACGGCGGCCGGGGATCGTCCAAGGAGGTCAAGGGGATGCTCGATCGTTTCATTGTAACTACACCCCATCAAGACCAAGCAAAGACGACGGTGGTTTCTTCCCCAGCAGCGGCGGCTGGAGGAGCAGAGCAGGATGATTCCGGCGCAGCAGCAGCAGCAGCAATGGCGTACAGCAATGGCGCCAAAGCCGCCAATGGAACCACCACCACCGTGCATTGATTACCTGCAGGCCGGCCAGTCCTAGTGGCCGGCCGGGTTTCACATTCACACCTGAATAATCCGCCACGACAAATTATCAATCGCGTGATTATTTTCAAGCTATTACTATGTATGTACTTGTACGCATGTATTTCCGGCGGTTAATAATACAGAAATGCTATACAACACATATGTGTTTTAGCAAAAAAACACATGATTTTTTTTATCTATGACGTCTAGAGCCCACATGTCATAACCGACGTGCATGGAGACACCACGCCCGTGCCTCCCCGGCCTGCTGCTCGCGCTGCTTCCCTGCTGCTGCCTGCTGCCCCGCGCGGCCCCATAGTCCTCCCAGCCGGCGGCGGATGAGGCACAGCTGCTGCTCCAGATCAAGCGCGCGTGGGGCGCCCCGCCCGTGCTCGCTGGATGGAACGCCTCGGCCGCGGGCGCACGCTGCGCGTGGCCATATATGACGTCTAGGGCCCACGCCGGCCAAGGCAGTGGCGGCGGCGGCGGCGGATCCAGCTCCAGGTAGGCCTCTCCTCCTCCTCTGCGATCTGTAATTTGTCTTTCCATAGAAAAAATTGTTTCTTGTGATCCGTGGATCTGTGATCTTGTGATTTGTGATTGTCTGGAGATAGAAGAAGGCTGAAGGCTGGAAGTAGAAGAAGAGTGGAAGCTGTTGGATCTTAATCCTTTGGTGCAAAAAAAATCATGTGTTGAAACTGTATAAAACACATGGTTGTGTAGTAGACAGACTCCGCCGCATGCTGCTATATTGTTGGATCCATGCATCATGTCCCTTTAATCGTACGTAGTGTTGCAACGTTTTCAAACATTCTTGTTCTTGTTTTAGCTGGTTATATCATTATTGGACGAAGTTAACCTATGATGGCGACCCTTCTTCCTCCCCGCGACGCGACCCTCCTCCGACGCCCCGTCCATGGCCGTCAAGCACCCACGCCCCGTCCATCCTCCTCCTCCTCGCCCTCGCCACCGGCCACCGCCCCGCCGCGGGTGCTAGGGTTCGCCGGAACCCGAGCGCCCATGGCGGCCGCCTTCTCCCCCTCTCGCGCAGAGCTCCGCCATGGTCATGCTCACCGGCGACGCCGAGCTCCGAGCTCCGGCCATGGCGCCCCGTCCCGACCTAGCCCGACCACCGCCAGGCCCTCTAAACCGTCCATCCTCCTTCCCCACCGCCTGACCGGCCTGCCTCTCCCAACCGGCCCTTCTATAGCCCATCGGATTTGGGGAAGAAGGGTGGGGTGCGGCCGCCGGAACCCTAGCACCGCCGCCTTCTTTGTCTCCGGCGTGAACAGATCCAGGAGGAGGAGGCCTATCTCGCCAACGCCAACGCCGCCGGAGGGGAGAGAGGGAGGAGCTCGCCTGGGGAGGAGGATGAGCTCGGGCGTCCTCACGAGCGTGGGCTCGGGTGCGTGGGAGAGGGAGAGGGGGCGCAGGCGCGTGGGAAAGGAGAGGGAGAGGGTCGCGCCGTCCGCTCGGAGCGTGATGGTCGTGTATTAGAGATTCCGATCATTATTACTGTTTTGTTAGTATATACCATCACAAATTTTATTTAGCACACCATTTAAGCCTCATTTATATCTATTGAATGCAGGCAAAAAAAATTGTCAAAGGACATAATGGATTTCACCGTTACGTTGCTCTCGTCGAGATGAATCGTTATTTTAGAGTGTAAAGAAAGAGAGAAAAAAATACATTTTTCGGATGCTGATGCAGCAAACAGGCCCTGGCCGAATAATTGGCGGTCCTGCTCTGGCTCTCTGCTATGCTGTAAACAGGGGACCGGCAATTGGTGGTAAGCTGACTCACCTCCCTCTGCCTTTTTTTTCTTTCTTTCTGATGACCCTCTCCTCGTTGAACATCCGTCCTCTACTCCTATCAAAAAAATGTATCTTCTCCTGCATGCATGGAGCAACAGCATGCAGCAGCATCCGACTTTCAAAAGTTACCAAGAAAGGCAGATGTATATAAGATCTATCTTCTAGTTGCCTCTGTGTGTGCTAATTTAATGAACAACGTCTACAGCATGTAACACGTAATTATTACTGGTTGTTAGCTCGTTTTGTTTGTGTGTGGTCATGAAGAATGGCTATACAACATGTAACTGGATGCTGATTTTGTAACATAACTGGGTGTTACTGTCGTACTCAACTCATGTTTGCGTCTTCTTCTCAGGGGTATAAACTCTTGGAATTTAGTGGTAATTGCATGCTTGATCCTTAGTTTTTGCAATAAAAAACAAATGAAAGTTTTCCAGTTATCTGACAATAAACCACTCGTTCAAGGGAGGAAGAGTTGTCTTATACTATTAACTAGAGTATGTTCGGTAGAGCTCCTTCGGACCCTTTTTTCATGGGAGGTAAGTCTATATAAGGACTTTGTATGCTAAACTTTAGCTTACGTAAGAGTGGTTCAATGCGTGGAGAGAACAAGCTCGGAGCCTCATCCTAGTTCATTTTAGGGAACCGATTCTCCATAAAAGAAATTGTTTAGCGGAGCTCCTCCTAAATTCAATCTAATACCTACTCGGGAATCCTTGAGAGCCCTTAGGCTTGAGCAGCTGAGATCGGTGTGCGGGAAGAAATAAAAGGGTACTTAATCTTTCTCTCTTTTAAGTGTCCTTATGCTAGGCAAGCTTTCTTTCAGTTTAACTAGATTTGTAGAAAATATTAGCAACATTTGTATCTTTAAACAAGTGTATTATTAAAATAGATTTAACTATCTATCTAATGATACTAATTATGCACTATAAATATTAATGTTCTCTTGTATATATATATATTTAGTCGAAATTAAGTACTTCCTCCATTCCCAATTATAAGTCGCTTTAGCTTTTTGATATATTCATTTTGCTATACATCTGAATATAATAATATGTCTAGATATGTAGCAGCATGAATGAAAAAAAAAATCAAATTGACATGTAATTTAGGATAGAGGAAGTACAAGAAGTGAGCCGTTAGAAAGGGACGGAGGAAGGACATCGACGAGGTTAGGCGTGTTAGTTTGTCCATCTCCATCGCAATGATCGGAGAGCCAAGTGGGGAGAGCACACATACTCTGATGGATTGATGGGCCGACACTGACTGGATCGGATTTGTTGTTGGTGACTGGCTCTGGCTGGTTAGTGCACGACACTACCACTAGTAGCGTGGCTACCAGAATCGCAGAAGCAGGTAGCTTTACCAAATTCCAGGAGGGCAGGGCAGGGCAGGGCAGAGATCGAACGAAGCCACTGTAGCAGCCAAGAGCGCGAGATCCATGGCGCCTCCTCCTCCTCCTCACGAGCCGGACAACTGCGGGTACTTGTTACTTACTCCGTACTACGCTACAAATGTGAAACCCAGGTAGTGATGCAGCTGCTTGCAGGTCGGAGGCAGCGCCGGCGGTGGACGTGACGGCGGCGAGGGACCTTATTATCTCCTCTGCCGGCGGCCACCGCTACCTGGACGTGAGGACGGAGGAGGAGCTCGCCAAGCTGGGCCATCTCGTGGAGCCCCAAAGCTCCCTCAACGTCCCCTACATGTTCATCACTCCGGAAGGTAAGCAGAAATCAATCTCTCTGTTTAGCTCTAAAGCTTGTTCAGTAGTACTAAGGTGAGGTGCTCTAGCTGCGGGCTGTGGCTGTGGCTGCATCTGCAATCTCCATCCCTGTATCCGCAGCAGCTCTGCCTATAACAACATCCGCTTTAGCTCAAGCAAATATATATCTTAAAATATCTTGGTCTTTCTAGCTTCGTAATTTTTTCTATATATTTATATATGCACTGTTACTACGTATGTATCAACGAAAAAAAAAACCTTGTAATTAGGAATGGAACGAGTATACATATAGCCTCCGTTCATATTCACAATTCACTTACATGATGTTTGTTTGGGGAATATGCTAGTCCATCATCATTTTACTCTTTGACCTTCTTTTTTTGGTTTGGTCCGTGAAATAAAATAGGATCTGTCATCACCTTGTTCCTCATAAATAAGTTACTATTACGAGAAATGAAGTTATTTCACTAAATTGGAGGAATAGACTCGTGATGCACCATCTTATCTAGAATTGTTTGATGTCTCAACCTAAACACCCTATTGATTACTGCTGCTAATCCATACCAATGCCATGTCCATGTATCTAGCCGCTATATATGCCTATGTTCATGCATATGGCCATCAAAGCGTCCATATACAATGGCTTCCAACCTGACAGGGATAAAATAAACAGTCCATCATGCGCGCACGCGCGTCGGTGGTAAAATAAATAAAGCAGCACCATAGGCACACGTTTATATATACTGAAAAGATTACAACAGCAGCATAGTGCATAGAGACATGCTTAGATTTTTTCTGCCGGAAACGTTGAACCTTATGCACAAGCAAAATAAATCCATACATACAGGAAACGAAATTAAGGGATCATCATGAGAGATATAAGGTGCCAAAGGAAATAAAGTGGATTTTTTTTAGGCTACCATACCAAGACAAAGCAAGTTCAGGGAGGAAGAAATAGAGCATAGCATGGATTTATGAGGTGCTATCCATTCGTAGATGTACCGAGATGTGTTCCCATTTCAAGGAAACGAATGGATCCATTGATACGTGCATCAGTGTTTAATAAATGGAGAGATGAGATGGAGATTTAAGGAAACCATGTAGGTTTTTTTGTTGAATCCGTCAATCTCTATCATAGATCAGAAGAGAGCCCATCCGAAGGGATAGAGGTTAAGAGAAAGCAAAGCAACTACCTTTTCTTCTCGAATCCGTCAATGTCTAGCACAGATCAGAAGAAGGAAATAGAGGCGACCGTAATGGGACTAATAGAGGAGAGTGATGTTCTTGCTTCACCTGGGAGATAACAAGCGAACGGAGCAGAGGGGACTGTAGCGGAGGCACCGGAGGCCATAACCGTCGGGGCTAGGCGCGCCGCCACAGCACCTGCCGGGGGCTCACCGCCGCCCCACTCGAACCCAGAGTGGGGAGCCGGCCATGGCCGGGGGGGGTGGCCGCGCCCGCGCCGCCGGGGCGGGGGGAGCGGCCACCGCGAACGACCGAGCCAGGGGCGTTGGCCCGCCTGCGACAGTAGCCGGCCGGCGTGCGGCACCGCGTGGGTACAGAGAGAGAGGGAGAGGGAGAGAGAGAGAGAGAGAGAGAGGAAGAGTAGAGGGAGGGAGCGTCCCCGTGGTTGGGGCACGCGGAGCGGCGGCGCTGGCGCTGGCAAGGGCGGCTCGGGGAGGGGAGGAAGAGGCTACTGGCTGGTTGTGGAAGCGAGGAGAAATTTCTGGAGAGCCAATAGTTTTTAGAGCAACCACCTATAGGTAACACGTTGAGCAAACAGGAAAGAGCATTGGAAGTAAATCTAGACCGTGAAATTAGAATTAGACGGATAAAATCTTTTTTACTACCGTGGATGTCCTGAACGGCGTCCAAAGTCTCATGCTTTGATATATTAGATAAAGGTGGTATATGAGCAAATTTTTTTATTATCTGATTGACACATTCGCGCGCAGGAAGCCGGGTGAAGAACGTCCAATTTGTGGAGCAGGTGGCGTCGCTTTTGACCAGCAAAGAGGAACCCGTCCTAGTGGTACCACGTCACCGTCTCATATATACTACGTAGCTTTCATATATTATATTAGTATACATACCAACTAGAGGAGTCTATTCCTGCGATAATGCCTAGTAATAATGCATGCAAAATAAAACATATATATTTGCAATCTGCAGGGGTGCCAAAGCGGCAAGAGATCAGAGCTAGCATGCATTGATCTCCAAGCAGCAGTAAGAACTGTACACAACATCGTCACAGATATACTTTACTACCAACAGCTTGCCTACTCTGATGCACACAACATATGCCTGCAGGGATTCAAGAAGGTCAAGAACATGGGAGGTGGCTACCTTGCCTGGGTGCACCATGGCTTCCCCGTCCACCACGGCACCACCCACTCCCCGTCCCCGGCGACATGGAACATGATGCATCTCCACGTCCACCAACACCGCCACCAGCACCAAGCAGCCAAGCCTAGCCTCAATGGCGGCCACGCACAGCAGCAGACAGATCCCTAAGCCTCATGTGCCGCAAGCAAGCAATTCAAGCCCCTGCCGCCATCAGCGTTCTACAATGCAATCTACTCTCTACTCTACTCAGCAGGCAGGCAAAATAAAATAAAGCTACCGCCCTCTACTTGCTGCTATAAACCCTAAACTGTGTCTACTTCTACTTGTATGATCCGACAACTGTATGTGTATGTGGTGCCAATAAACTAAACACATGGTAAATGCCACCTAACATTCACGGATGAACAATCCCACCTACTACAGTTTCTCACAGGATCAACCAGTTGAGGAATGCTGGATCCCAACCACCAGCACTCAGTCAATCACATGACATACACAATGAATGAGCAAGATGGCCTATTGCCCTACACTAACTCAAATGAAAAAAATTAATATTCAATTGATTTTATCATCCAGACAACAGTATGCAGGGAGAAGAAGCTATGGTAAAAAAAAAAAAGAAAAAAAGGCACCTCGTCATAAAAAGGAGGAGGCAATTTTGATTCCGATCTTGATTTATACAAGAACCCTCAAATGCGTGTCCCCAGGTTCATTCAAGTTCTACAAACAAAGGGTCAGGGGAATACCGTCTATTTATCTGATTACTGTTGGCACTGATATTTTTGTTGCTTCAACATGCACCCTCTCATCAAGGGTCGACATCACCACCAAAACAAAGAGGCTCTCGTTGGTTGGACCTGCCATTTGCCTCCTTGGTCTTGTCATGGCAAAACCTATAGAGGCTCCGCTGACTTCTGAGTCCTTGAAACAATCAGATGGTTACAATAAATATGACTCGACGACAGTACGCCCAAACTTCTGTTGGACATCCTTTGAGTTTCAATCTGCAAACAAGTTGATGGAAAAAATTAGACAAGATGACCTATAAATAAGTATCAAGAATGAGAAGATTGAAATGGGTAGATTTTGAGAAAGAAATGGGCACACATACAGCATTCAAAGCTATGAAGAGAGCTTTAATCACATTAAGTGGGTTCCTTGATCCAATAATCTGCAAGACAAAAGGCAAGAAAAGAATATCACAACTTTGAAATACAAAAAGGACTAATAGTGATCGCTTGGACTTTAGAATCACACCTTTGTCTTGACGTTGCTGAAACCAGCCAAGTACAGCACAGTCTCAACAGTCCTACCAGCAGCAGACATTCCACTCCTCATTGGTCCAGGCCAGAGGTATATCTTAAGATACACAAGCAGCCATCAGACCCACCAGAGTTACCACAGCAGGATTCACATATACAAGAGAGATTTCGTATTTCCGTGTGTTCACCTTAGTTTTCTCATATTTGGCCTGGATAGCATGAGCAATTGTGTGATCCTCGACGCTCCATGTAGTGGAGATTCTGGAAGCATTTCTCATATGCCTGGTGAAGAGAAGGGGAAAAAAAGACACGTCCTGTAAGACCTTGATGCCTCAGTTGACTCAGCTAATTCCAAATGAAGCATGAAACCAGTTGCTCAACCATCAAGCATACGATAGAGATTCCCAGGTAACTAATCAGATATTTTCGAGGTCAAGGATTCTCTATTATTATATATATACTACTTCTGTAAATATCCCAACCCACAAAGGTTTAGTTGTCTTATCTATTATTAGGAGTCTACAACTCAATGCTACTGCCTTAACTGGCACCAGGAACAAGTTTAGTAATTTGTTTGGAAAGGTAAATCATCCATACCCTCTGTATTGCAATCTTGGCTGTTGGGCCTTTAGCTTTCATGCTGAAGCCAACAACACCATTGTAATTTCCAGTGGCCAATAGCGCTGTGAATTTTGCTATTTGTCCTCCCTGATAAGCACGATGTAAAATTAGGCAACAGAGTTGGTGAAAAGGCTATAATTAGCAGTTGAAGTCACTCAAACAAAGAACACTAACCTTTGTGACTTTGCATGTCCTGTTAACGTCAATAACTTTCACATCAAAACCCTGTAAGGTGTGTCATGGCGATATCCGTGTTAGCACATAATGCAACATGAAAGGCATCAATGGAAGATAGATCCAGACAAAAGTTTGCTAGGCCGATCGGACCATTTTCAATTGATGATTCTACTTACTTTTCTGTACATAGGTCTCCTCTTCTTCTCAGACAGGAATTACGCTCCTCCACCAAATCCTTGATTTCCTCCTCCAAAACTCTGCCCTTTCTTATCAAGGTATGATCCAACAGTTCTAGCTTCTCCTCAATCTTCTTTTCAATAGCATTGAGTTTCTCTATGAGCATATCATCCTCTCCTTTGCCTCATTGAATTCCTCCTCATCACCCTCAAGTTCTGCCCCTTGGATCATCTGCTTCTCCTTATCAAAGCCAGCATTGAGCATGACATCCTCTGGAGAACCAACCTGCTGGTGCTGGATGAGCCCAAAGTTTGCAGGGTTACTGGGGTCGTAGGCCTCCTTGATTTCCATGATCCTGACGGCTCGGTTGAGCTTCTGAAGGAGAACGAAGCGCTCTTTCCCTGTGGCATCCTTTGAGAAGGTTCATCATGTCGCCGATGACCCTGTACTCCAGTGGCAGTTTGAGATGGCGCTCCTCGAACTTGTTGATTTTGGTCATCCATTTGTGAGCCTCGTCCAGGGTGTCTGTCACATTTGTCGATGGCAGAGGACAGAGAATTGTTGAATTGAAGGGGACAAAAGTAACTAAATGTAGTGGAAATGGATGGAGGACGGGATGATGAGAGGCTGCTAGGTTTATTACCGGCCTCTGCGAATGATTGCAGGTACTCCCCATGGCGCTTGCACTTGCGCTCGAACTCGTCGACGCGTCGCTTGATGGCGTCGGGCGTGTAGCGCTCGTCGTCTTCGTCGCTGTCGGAGTCGGTGGGCTCCCAGAAGCCTTCGTCTGCGGCCGCCTCCTTGGCCTTGCGTCGCTCGAGCTTCTCTATGAGCGGCTTGACGCCCATGTAGTCCTCCTCCTCCTCCTCCTCCTCTGGCTCTTCCTCCTGGTCCTTGCCGTCCTTTGCGCGGCGGTCCTGTCGCTCCCGCTGGCGCTCGCGCTCGACCTGAGCGAGCAGCTCGTGCACGACCCGCTCGCTCTGGATCTTCTGGTTGGGCCTGGCGCCCCGGCGGAGGCGGAGAATGCCAGGTGCAGGCGCGGCGGCGTGATCCGCGAGCCTAGGTGATGTCGGTGGCCGGGGAGTGCGGTGGATTCCGCGAGGCTATGCGGCCGCAGGAGAGGAGGCGGGCCCACGCCGCGGCGGCGCGGGAGCGCGTGCGGCGGCGGCGGCCATGGCGGCGGCGGAGAGAAGGGGAAGAGGGTTTTGCCAGCGCGTGGGATTTTGCACTGCACGCAAATTGGGGAATCGTCGCAACCGTAGCGGAATGGGCCTGTTCCAAAAAAAAAAGAAATCTAGGTGGGCCCTTCATGGGCCTCCATTTACTGACATACTAAATTTAGCCCATGGGCTACCTCTCGCCTGGTCGCGTCCTTCCCATCGGGGGGCACCCGACACAACCACCCTGGCCGTGTCGTGTCGTGTCCGTTTCGGCCGCTCGGGGGGCAATTCCGTCCATCCATCCACAAAGAAACAATTGTCTCAGAAAACAAGAAAGAGGAGGAGGAAGCGGACGGGAATTGGATTCCGATTTGTTGTTTCTAGGGTTTGCTTGCTCATCCGCCTCTTCCCTCTCGCTCCCTCCAGCTCCACCAGACGCAGACGCAGACGCAGACGCAGACGCAGACGCAGACGCAGAGGCTGGATCGGCGGCGGGATAGGCTAGCTATGATCCCCAATTCCATCTTCCTCTGATCTGCTTGGCGGTCGAATTCGGATTCGATTGGAGTAGGGAACGAGAAGGGAACAAATCTCCACCAGACAGCACGCGCCTCCATACTATGGTTTACGCCCCGTGCCGCTCATCGATGCTGCCGTCTTCCTCGCCGATGCTCCACAAGAACCTCCGCGCGCTCGGACCCGGCTTGAATCCCTTTGCTCCCTTCGGCATGGGCAACTACTCCCGCTAGTCGTCTCCTCCGATCCCTCTTCTCCGATTCCAATCTCTGAGTGCTTCCGCCACCACCCCGGCTGCTTCCTCCATCGGAACCGATTCCCGCTACTTTCTGTTTCTGCCCGTTCGCTTCATTGCTCCGTGGCTTTGGATCTGAAGCTGGAGATCCTCCCCTGTCCTGCTGCCCGAGGTGCCGCCAAGGATACCATGGTGCTGGTGCGCAGGTCGCTCAGCATGAGCCGCCCCCGTAGCTGCCACGACGCTGACGACCGTGGCTGGAACCCGCTCCATGTTGCTGCTCGCAAGGGAGACCTCAAGGAGGTAACCATCATTCATACAGACCCTCTCTCCCGTTTTATTTCTCTTGATTGATTGGTGATACATTGCAGGCTATACGAAACTGGATTAGACTGTGAATGAACCCATACTATTACCAAAACTTTGGAAGAGGGGAAAAGGAGCCTGCTATTGTATTTTGATTGATGGTATATAAAATATTCCCAATGGTCAGCAAATGTCAACTTATTAGGTGTAGTAAAGAATGGAAATAGACTGTAACATGTTATATCCATATTGGCAGAATACCATATACAGATTGCAGCACGTGATGGTTCGCATGAATTGCGTGCACACATCACACACAAATAAACACCAAATACATAAAAAGCAAGGTTCAAGAAAACGCTAGGCGCTAGGCAGGCGCTAGCCTACTGAATCCAATTCATCGACCCCATAAAGAGGTAGCACGCATAAAGACTAGCAGACTGCAGACCCCAATCCAATTCATCGACCCCATAAGGACTAAAGAGGTAGCACGCATAAAGGCTAGCAGACTGATCCAATTCATTGACCAACTAGGCAACTAGCACTAGCAAGCATCAAACTTGCAATTGCAATAGCCGGCGACAACGCAAGGGGCCGGACCGCAGGAGAACACCACGGCCTGCACCAGCTGCTCCTGCAGTGATTCCCCTCCAGGATGTGCCGATTTCTTGAGCAGCTCCCTCGATCCCCTCCAGGCTGTGTGATTTCTTGAGCAGGGGCTCCGCTCGCAACTAGCGGCAAGAGCGGCGGCAGGTCACGGCCTCGCGTGTCTGAGGAAAGAAAAGGATCAGAGTAATTTCGCCGTACCTATCTAATCCCTCCCGCCCGCTCTGTTTTCGCACGCAGCCTGCGCTTGCCCATGCATTTTCCTCCTTGAAGCGCCAAGACTCTCATTGCAGCTTTGCAGCGCGCGCTGCCGCCCTCCGCCTCGTCCAGCGACGCCTAGCGCCGATTTTTTCGCAGCGTCCGTGCCGCTTACACGCCGCCTAGCGCGTAGACGCAGTGTCTAGGCGCGACCAGCGCTTAATTGGGCGCCTAGGCCCTAAACGAAACATTGGGCCTCCGTTTAGCGTTTAATCGAGATTAATTACGTGTAATTGCATTTTTTCGAACCTTGTATAAAAGTGCACTCAGGTCAAGGTAACCAGTATTTCAGTAATTCTTTTTGTCACCACCCTGAAGCTAAGCAGAGCAATACAACAAGTCTCAATAGATGAATCCAAACAAACAACTGCTTCTAGATGTAAAACTAGTTTTGTTGGCCATCACCTTTATAATTATATCAAAATTCTGTGCCCATCTTAAGCCCATATGATCATGTTCAAAATTCTACTCTCTCAATTCGTTCTGAATTATCTGATTCTCAATTTTAGTTCCTCATCAAGTATTTTGCCAATCTTCATCTGTGACTGGCTGTACATAACTATTTCCCTTTTACTTATTCCTTGTTTTCATGTGCTTCAACTAGCAATAAATATACTGCGTTGACTCATTTGGCAATTGTTATAGACACATTTGGGAAGAAATACCACTGTTTTTACCTTCAGAATGATATTCATCCTATATTAACCTTTATTAATAATGTTCTCTTTTTATTTCTCTTGTTGCCTGTCGGTGCGACAGTGCCTAGTGCTAAATGTTTTTGTTTATTCACCTATCTTATTAGATAACAAAATATGGTTCTCTTTCTGCCTAGGTCCGACGTCTCCTGGATGATGGGATGGGCGTCAATGCACCTGCATGGGGACCAAAATGTCCTGGTGCTACCCCACTCCATCTGGCTGCTCAGGGTGGGCATGTTAAAATCATGGATGAACTACTGGAGCGTGGTGCCAATATTGATGCTCGAACCAAAGGGGCCTGTGGCTGTAAGTTCACACTTCCTCTGACTCATTGCCTGCACTGTTAGAGAGTAAAGTTGTTGACAATGCACAATTTGCAGTGTCATTAATCATGTTTCATGATGGAGTTGATGCTGCTTCATGAACATATCTTTCCAGCTTATGTTGACTGCCTTGCTATGTAACCACTATGCAGAGTTGCCCCCTCCTCTGAGACCTGGATATTACATGTGTTTGCATAAGTATGCAGTAGTGATGCCTTCCTGGTTATTCTGGGCCTCAAATTCATTCAGTTTAAACCGAAGTTGTATCGGAATGATGTAACATGGTTTCAGTTCATGCGTAAGGACATATGTGGCAATTTTGTATGGAAGAAACCACTTCATGATTAAATCATATATGCTTCTACTTCTCTAGCAATAGTGTGTGTGGAAATTTATTGTAACATGTTTATACAGAATAATGATATGAGTAGACCTGTTCTTTTATCCTGGGAGTCTGATTGGCCCTTTTCTTGGTTGAACACAGGGACTCCTCTACACATTGCTGCCAAAGAAAGGAACAAGAAGGCTGTGAGGTTCCTGATTGAGAATGGAGCATTCCTTCCTCCTGAGATGAATGACCATAGGTTCAATCCCCCCCTCCATTACTGCTCTGGGTTAGAATGGGCATATGAGATGAAGCGCATGCAAGACGAAAGTGATTCGCCTGGCGAGACTTCATTGAGCTCGGATAACTAGAGCAAAAGCAGCAGGTGCACCGAGATATGATGCAGTTTGAGAAAGATGGAGAAGTTATGTCAGGTCATATGGTGAGTTGTGTGCGCATCACCATTGAGTACATTTGCTTGATGTCTGGATGATGGAGCTGTCATCTTTGACTTTGAATAATCGTTGGATGGTACCTCTAATCTACTATGAGTGAATGTTAGATGATACCATACGGGTACTCAGCTGGGTGTTATTGCACTTTACCTGTAATCTGCTACTTCGAATGATTGTTGGATGTTACCAAACATGTAATTTTGTTGTTCAGATTTTAACATCTGAGTGGAAACATTCTATGTAGCATTCATTCTGCCACAGTAATCCTTGGATAAGTTCCTTGCGCGCTGTGGTTGCTTTTGCTGTGGAAGGGCGAAGCTGGTGAAGCAGCAGCAGCATACTACTCGATAAGTGACATGTCGAACCCGAGTCGTGGAACTGCCTTTGTATTTGGATCCCCTTTGGAATGTGGGATTTTTTTTTTCCAAATGCATTTTTCCTATGAGGGGCTAATTCCTGTGGATTTCCTACAGGATTCCTGTGAAATTCCAAGGAATTTGTTTCCAAGACAAAACTATCTGTGCATGTAATTCTCAGTTAATTCATCAATAATTTGATGCACAGCTGATTGAAATTTCCGTTTACCTGCGTGTGGACTAAGATGAGGTAAACGGAAATTGGTCTTGCAGTGAGCTTGGGAAGCAAATGTTCCCAGGCCAAATAACAAAGCTTTAGCAGACGAGACGGGTATAGGCAAGGAGAGGCACATTTGTAACTGTTCAGAAAGACACTGATCAGTTAAATGCTTGCTTCGAAAGACATTTGCCGGATTATCATGGGCAATTCTCATGCACGGCATCGACCGGCTTGTCCTCCAGGAGTACTTACTAATTCATGATGATATGCATATGTATTGGTATTCACTCTTACATTCTAAAACACCTGAGCTTGATCTGGGTACCCCCAAAGGTCTTCACAAGCAAAGCTAATTATGCCGCTCCTAAAGCAGCAACAAGTACCAAGGGCACCAGTACTCACAACTATCACCATAATCATGAAGCTACCTCAACAGCAAAGCTAGGGAACGTGAAGAAAGAGCACATTTTCTGACCAGTACAAGCAGCAGTCAATAACCAAATCGCACCCTCAATAGCAACATAGCATCGTTGAAACTTTCTTCTCGTGCTTAAAGCTAACACCACACTTGAGCAATACACTGTGGGGCAAAGTTACATAAGTCTTGCATCCATTCCGTAAACACAAACTACTGCAGATAAGCTACCTTACAAGCATGGCTACCCAAGCAAAGATTTTGCAACAAGGGCAAAAGCTTGGTTTGCCTGATAAAAGCGTGCGCGATCCTTTAGACAGATCTACCTCCTCACAGGGGGTGCACCACCTCGTCCAACAGGACCACCGCCACGACCAGCAGCAGCCTACATCAAGTGGCAGGCAAAAGGTTAGAACATATGTATAACACAAAAGTATGCACACAAATAAAAGGATCTGAATGTGTGCAGGCATATATCAGATTCATGCAAGTCGTGTAAATACAAAGATGATTTCAATGCAGATGGTTGCACATTTTAAAGTTCACGTGCGAACACTCCCAAGATGCTTCAAATTCAAAATTCAAATTCCCTTATAAGTGGGTGCTGACTGCTGATTGGTAGGCAAAAACATAGGAAATGTGATACATGACTTGTTGTGATCAAAGTCAGAACAGTTCATATTCTTCATGCTTTCTTACGCAAATTAAGCTAGATTGTGTAAATACATTTGTTCTAAACTTCATGGTGTACTCTCACATTTTAGTTCTGGGTAGGAAGATTTCAAGATCAAACGGTTGAAAAGAAAAGGGTGACTTCAAACACAAAATACTCTTTTCTTAGTATAAATCCACAGGCTCGGGAGAAAGTAAAATCAAGACTATTACCCATCTTGAAGAGAAGGTGATAGTGCAACTAGCAAGGACATTCAATAGCAACTAGGGATGAAACATGGAAACAGCGTGTCTTAGATTTAACATGAGAGCAACTACAGGAGAAAGACGTTCTAATGTGCAGGAGCAATAAGCCAGGTGAGGCTCATGATCAATAGTAAGAATTGCATTGCCTCTCCCACACTAGTCTAGCTAAAACATATATCAAGCTGCTTGCCTTGGTTCAAATGATCATGCAAAGAGTGACGTGTGAGAATTGCAGCATGGCAAAGAATGGGGATTGGGCAATGCTGTCAAAGGCGTGTCTAGATTACTAGATATGGAGGACTGCTCTATGATGTTCTGTGCTTATAGCTATTTGGATAATGTTGCATGTGTTGGACTGCGTTCAGCATCATGAACTACATCTAGACAGCAGTTGAAGATTTATTCACAGGAGCTAAGAATCTTGTAAAATTCAAAATGTATGGAGTTATTGAATGAATCAAATCCTTCCAGATTAACAAGTGATGCTTGTGGAGAGAAAGCAAGATGTGATTACCCTAGCACGCATGGCAACCGCACGGCCTCGGCCGACACCAACAGCTGAGCCTTTACCCTGCAGGAAGATGAGCGATGGTTAGCAATTAAGCATGTGCTAGTATTTCTTTAGTGTGGTATATGCCAAGATGAGGAAGAAATGGCAACAGTGGCATCATAAATAAAGGTGGTATGAACAAAAGAGGGAGGAGCAGGTGTAAGAGTGCTGACCCTAATCCTGGCCTCGAGGCGCTTGAACATCGGGGCGTTCTTGAGCATGTCGGGTACGATCATGAACCTGACCCTGCTCCCTCTGATGAAGACGTGCTCCAGCTGCGACACCTTGCCGTCCTGGAATCCATCCATTGCTTGAACATTATTCAACAGAGATTTATTGAGAGACGAGGCAAACCAAACGAAACGAAACGAACCTTTGCCGTGAAGGTGATGTTTTCGAGCTGGCAGTTCCAGTTGTCCTCGCACTCGACCATGGAGCCGCGGTAGACCTCGCCGGTCTTGAGCTCGACCGTGACGACGTGGCCCGCCGCCTCGTGCAGCAGCTTCACCGGGATCCCGAGGCTGCGGCTCATCCTCTAACTGGATGGTCGGGCTCGCACGAGCTGGAGGAAGCCCTTACCCTGTCGTCGGAGGCTGGGAGCAGCAGCGGGCAGGAGTCGGAATCGTCGAGGCCTCCAGTGGACGAGGGGAAAGGCGGCGGCGCGGCGAGGGTTTGCTTTGGTTGAGGGGTTTCTCTGCTCCCTCCGCCTACAACTCAGGTATGCTTTGGTTGGGCTGGGCTGGGATCATTGGCCCTGGGCCGGACCGATTCTCTGCTTCTTGGAGTTTCAGGCCCACTCGACTCCAAACATCACCCCACTTCTATATCTATATCTATATCTATATCTATATCTATATTCTATACCTATCTATATTTCCCTCAAAAAATCTATATCTATATCTACGTCTATATTTATATCTATATCTATATCTATATATACATATATATATATTTACACTTATATATAATAATATAAAGAGCCAAAATTCCTCCCCATTTTTTTGGGTATGGCTTCCTGAATGTGAAACTCTCTCTGTTTGTATATAGAAATAGAAAATGTCTATGTTCGTCTCTCTACGACTCTCCTAAGGAATTCTAATTCTATCCAAATAGATCTCTTAATCCTGAGTAAACTGAATAGGAATTCTAGCCCAAATAGAAAAAAGTTTAAGTAGAAATTAGGCAAAATCTTATCTTACTCGTAATATTAACCAAAAAAGAGTTTGGCCGAATGTTTATTGTTTCCAGAGGATTTGAATTTCCATCTAGCAGATTGTTTGTCCTATCTAGAGAAAGCAGTCGGTCTTGCCTGGGTGCATGGTGTTCAAACCTAGAAGAAAAGGAGAACAAGGAATCTTAATGATCCTACTCCGTTTATATGTAGGATCTTACTAAACTCTTAGACATTGGCAAGACTATATATACGTGGGAGCTCTATGTTGTAATCATCAAGATTAATAAAAGAAATAAAGAATAGTCTCCTTAGCTCTTCTGTGTCTATGTGTTCTACTTTATCTACTATGTTCTACTTTCATCCGACGTTATTAGCGGAGCGGATATGCTATCTCTACATGCAACTAACCTGCACTGCATCGACATATATTGTTTCCGTCAAGTAGCCTGTTGTACGATAATGTTAAACGCCCTAAACAATATATATCTATTAACCACTTTCCTACGTGACATGTGAGGTAGATTAAATTGATCGACGTATACTTTACAAGGCATGATAGAATTGCATCCAGTAGATCGTGTTTGCCCTGTAGATGACTATTGAGTCGGGCTTTTTTCCCGAGGGAGTCGGGGTAATTTTTTCTACACGGGCGCGTAGTAGTAGATATATGTACAAGAAGTACGTATGCATGATCGTGTATGAGCAATAACATGTATACCCATATGCTTGCACACGCGCGCATATATGAGAGAGAGAGAGAGAGAGAGACGAAACACAAGCAGACTGCCAACAGCATGTGTGGCCTCTTTTCCACACGGTGCCTGCATGCACCGCGCACCGATGCACGTATCAAAAGGCTAACAACCGCCAATCCCGACCCTCTGTACGTGCCTGCATATGCTCCACATACCTACACCTGCAAGGACTTGGCCATGCATGCGCAGCTCGGCCTCGGTTACCATCGATTTTTTGCAATCTGGGACACCGGCCTTGCATGCGGAGGTCAGTCGTCATGACCGATGCGATCATCGTTAGTTGCATAAGTGACCTAGCACGTCACCATCACCGTTTGCATCGTTCGTCGCAGCTCGCATACTGCTGCATCATCCCAGCGGCTTGCACCGCATGGTCTCCACCCGCATCGTCGGCCACCTACTGCCGGGATTGCAGATGTCTTTGCTCGTCTCTACACGGCTCGTAGCCGCCACCCACCTCCACGGCCCGCACGCCACAGCCGCCCGGAACACAGGTTGAACAGGCCATCATAGGTCTTCGAGAGAAGC